CGTCGTAGTAGGCAGGTGTTCCAAGGACGATGGTCTTGATGAAGAAGGCCTGGTTGCCGTGATTCTCCTCGTAACCGCCGACGATGCTGAAACCCCAGCTGCCAGGGTGACTCCTCCGTAACACGATCTCGTGGCTACTGTGCAGATAGCTGCAATTTAAACAAACAATTGTACAACTGTGTTAGAATTTCTACTAATATAAGAAAAACATGTTTTCAACAACTATGCAAACAACAATCACAAAAATTGCTTTTAGTTATATAACTAATATTTAGTTATCAAGACTAATTTTTGTCCTAACTGCAACTTTCTTTGCTGTATTTTTTGTACCTTTTTATTATTTTTGGCTATTTGTTTTTATTGGTTCTCAGCTTAAAGCAGATTTAAATCTAAACCAATTAATATTTTTTCTACCTAGGCAGGCCCAACCACATGACCCACGATGGAGACCAGTTGGCGTCAAAGTCGCTGTCATGACTGTGGGGCAGCAGCTCGTCGTGGTCGTGTTCTTCCACCATGGTGACCTCCAGCACCCGAAGCTGGACTGAGGGTGAGGCAGCGCTGGCCTTCAATGTGCCTACTGCCTCACTGTGGCTCAGGTAGGTTAGATCCTGGCCGTTGATGCTCAGCAGAATGTCGCCTGAGGGAGCAAAAAAAAGACTCTCAGAAACAGTGACAAAAAAAAGAAAATCTAGGGAATTTTATCTGCTTTAAAATCCTGACCTCGTTTGATTCGTCCGTCCCTCGACAGACAGCCGTGTGGTTGGACACTGGTGACAAAAATGGGTAGCTCCCCACTTTTGCTGCCCCTTCCACCAGCGACAGTCATGCCCAGAGACTCATGTGGCTCCTTCTTTACATTAATGTGTTTCTCCTTACAGGTCAAACACTGGGAAAGGTCCTGACAACGTAACCATACACATGAAAACAGGCTGAGCGTTATGTGTTTACATTCACAGACAAAAGTCACTGAATCCATCCCTAAAAAAACTACAAAAACAGCTTTAGGCTCGTCCTCACTCTGTGTGTGCTGGTGCGAGACAGATGCATTGGCACAGGACTCGGGGTGCAGCTGTGGTTAGGCAGGAAGTGATCAAGGCAGTAAAGGTCTCTGGTGGAACTTGATTTTGGTGGTGGTGGAGTTGGTTTGCTGGGCCGGGATATAAGGAGGTGGACTCGGTCTCCACTGGCCTGAGGAATCAGATTGATCAATATCAGAGCTGTCAGAGCTTCAGATGGGAAAATGTTTTCTTTTCAATTCCAGTATTTTCAGAGGAAGAAATGTAGCTTATTAGAACCTGTATGATCTGAGCCGCCTGCTCTGGGGTGCCGTGGCACAGATCTTGGTCGTTGACAGCCAAAACACGGTCATTACTCCGCAGCCTGCCATCCTTGGCTGCCAGGCCTCCTTCCAGGAGGTCCAGCACAAACACTCCTGACTCATCTGTTCGTCGCACCAGCTTGATGCCGAGCTGCTCTGTGGAGTCCCGCTTATGCAGGGTGATTCTCAGCGTGGTGGGGCTCGAAGGAGAGGATCCCTCTGGAGTGGAGCAGGGAGCGGTCGGTACAGCAGGAGTGGAAGAGGAAGAGGAGGAGGAAGGAGGAGCCCGGGAGGCACAGCGGCGTTCCCTGAGCACGGTCAGCTGCAGGGTGGTGCAGGGGCGCGACAGGGTTGAACGAGCAAAACTGTGGGGGACGTTACTGATGTCGACATTGTTCACCTGAGAGGAGATAAAAAAGAAAGAAAGAATGTTTTAATAATGTATGTTGCACTCTTCTGAACCATACAAACTGACACAGTTATGTAAGGCACAGTGGTGTTGTGGGTTTACAGTTGAGATAAATGATCTTAAAAATGTATTGAATAATAACTGAAGATAGCTCAGATAATTTAGATAATTCAAATCAAACATTCAACCCAGACATTTCTAAATTTTAGCAGAATAATTGACTGAAAAAGGGAGGCTTAAAAAAAAATCTAAATTAGATCAAAATTTGTTAAAGATACCAAAAATTACAACTCACTACATATTAGCATTAATGCCCAAAAGCTGAGAATTAACAAAAGAAACATCCATGTTAAAAAAGGTATTCTCCCACTTTTCCATCTACACAAGCCTGACCTGCTTCCACCTAACACTTCTGCTGACGTTGCCAGTTTAGAAAGTCAGAGACACAGTGAGCATCAACGGCATGAATTAAAAAACTCTGTCTGGGCATCTTAAGAGAGGATGTCCTAGATTTACTCACTTTTTAGCTGCTCTTGCATTTTAAGGTGGCAAAATGGTTCCCCAGTCGCTCAAAGCTCCACTTTTAACTTGTTTTATTTTACACAGGAACCACACTGTTGCATCAGTCAAACCTTACACTTTTACAGTGCTAACATGTCTTTTTTTTAAAATCTTGCAGCCGTGTTTTGGTCGGGCTAACTTTTCTAGCCTGTATACCTGTAGGATCTGATCTCCAGCCAGCAGCCTCCCATCTCGTGCAATGACCCCGTCTCTGTACACCTCCTGAATCACGACGTTGATGAGCGGCGTCTCGTTCCCCCCAACGATACTGATGCCCAGCTCCACATAAGGGTTTGAGCGGTGAACTTCGATGGCAGTTATCTCTCCTTCAGGAAGTGAGGGCAACTTGACGCAGCCTGATGGATAAGGATGTTAAATCACGGAGCTGCGTGGCAGATCACCATGTATTTCTGTGATCAAACTGCTATTTGGAAAGATGCTCAGCAGAACTGAGGGACTGACGTCGTACCTTCTTCAGCAGACAGAGGCGGAGACTCAGGACAGTCCCATCCAGAGGAGGTGGAACTGACCGAGCGCAGCAGGTGGATGCAAGGATTACTGAGGGGACGCTTCACTCTGGGGACCACACACTCCAACCCAACCACACCTGACGACGTGGAAACTACGTCTCATTAATGTGAGCCAGTTCACTTCATGAACATTTAAATAAGTAAATAAAACAAGGGACAGACTCACTGTCTTCCTCTGTGCTCCCCTCAAAGGCAGGGTTGTCCAGGCCGGCGTTCTCCGTCCACACTGGTCCGTCGCTGCAGGCGTTATTAGGTCCAGATGGTGGAGAAGGCGTGCGGTCCCTCAGGTCTGTCTGCGGGGACCGTGGTGACCTGGGGGGGCTGGTCACCGTCCCTCGTTCATCACCACTCTCACATCTCAGGCCATCCACGCCGGTCTGCTGACATCGGGTCCCAGGGCACCTTTAACCCGACAGGAGGTGTCCATTGGTTACAGGTAGAATCCAGTGTGTAAAAAAAGGCATTTGGGAACTGTGTGAAATTACCATCAGTGTTATTAACATCATCTGACGTAATGTTTAGTCACCTTTGCACATTCTGTTGCTACCTTTTAACTTTTAAGTTTTAGTTATCTCATGGCTAACTTTAAGGCCTCTTCATTGGCTAATTTGACAGAATGTTTTTTCTCTTCCCAAATTACAGGGCATTTTATCATTTTTACCACTGAATAATTCAGATATATTTGTGGGTAATTTTCTTTTCTTCTTTTATTGTTATTTTTTTAAGTTGAAAAAATAGTTGACTAGTAAAAATCTGTATTTTTTTATCTAATGTCAAAGATGAGACAAGTTTACTGTCAAATGCCTGCATTACTAGTCTGACTAACTGAGGGAGGATCCTGTCCCACCAATACATGCTCTTAAGTGAACAATGATTAAAAATACACACACACACACACTCAGAGGATCAATGAGGTCTTTGGTCTAATTGACTCTGAAATGTTTAGTGTCTGTGGCACACAGGCTGGTTGAACTATTGAAAGATTTCCTTTAACTTCCCACTGGGTTTCTTCTCCTAATCAATCCTCAGTGGTGTCGATCTTTGACTTTTGTGCTTTTCTAAAACGAGGGAGAAATACAATGAGGGGAAAAAATAGTCGGCTTTACACAAATACAAAACCCTTAAGTGGCTCAGGATCATATGGAGGCTTAAAATAAACATGATTGGCTGAGAAAAAAAAAAGGGAAAGAACCACAGCTCTCACACCGTCAGTAATGACATTAACCAGCCCACCTTGACCACAGCGGCTTGGCACACTCAACTTTTAATCTAATGTCCGGTGTCCCATCGTTTATCTTAAACAATAAACAACGTCGACTCGGACAAAGTCACGTCGTGACAGCGGACTCCCGGCTCCTGTTGCTATGCTGGAGCGATAAGTCTGCAGGGCGGAGGAGCAGGGAGTTAACGGAGGTTTAATCTCTTCCGAGGAATCTCACGTTAGTCCTCACGCTCTGAGCTGCCTTAGACCATCTTTTCTGGTCTCCTCAGCCAGAACAGAGTGTGCAGACTCCACAGAGATGGACTTATCTGTAGACATAATGGATTTAAAGGATGACTATCTATAAACCGTTCATCATTTACCTGTCACTTTAGAAAGTCTTTTAATTTTCCATAAAAACGAACAAATAAACCCGGACCTTTTAAAGTTAGCTCTCTATGTTACACAATTTTGAGAATTAAGGGGTAAAATTAAGGTAAAATTCAAACATTTCAACGCGCCTTGGTCATATCAAACCCTGCCATTTTTGCTCCATCTTAACTCGTATCTCTAGTGAAAGAGAGAAAATCGTTGTTGTGTTGGGGGATCTCCTGTGAAAAACAGCTGATTCAGTGGAGCTTTTATCAGCTTGTTAGCATTAGCTCATTGGTGTGAGCTTGTTAGGGAAAATCTATCTGACTTAATGACTTCGCTGGAGTGTTTAGTGCGGCTGCAGTCAATAAGATCATGTCACAACAACGGCCCATGGTTTCGTAGCAACAGAACTGCTGCGTGATTTTTTATTCACAAATCAATAAAGGATTGTGATCTGATGGCCAACAGTTTAACATGGTTTATACATATGAAATGTACTTCCAACCAAAAACAGTTCAACTAAAAAATGTATTTTTTAGTGACTGCCTGAAGCAGAACAGATGCTGAGACCAAACACAGAATCAGGGAGTAGCAGAAGCAGTTATGAGAGATGCCAGATGTGAAACATCATTTTGCCCAGATATAGTAAACCCATCCCTCCATGGGTGACTCACCACAAGCCTGGGTTGCCCTTGGCTGTCTCACAGAAGAAATGGTTGAAAAGGTCTCTGCTGTTGAAGTTGCTCAGCATGGCTGTAGACTGACAGCACAGAGCGCCTGCTCTGCCAACCCATGACTGGTTGGGTAGTAGGAAACCACTAATCCCCCGTCACATGACTAACAGCTCAATAATCCCCCCCAGGGTCTCACAGCACCTGGTCCGAGCGGACCAGAAGCCAAAGTGTGTGGGCGGTGAGAAAACCTCTACGGTCGGTGGGAAAGTTAAACCGATCTGAACTGGGACTAACGACATCGGCCGGTCAGGCCACGCTGTGGAACGGAGGTTGATGCTCCTGCCTGTCAGCGAGCAGGTCATCAGTTCAAACCCCAGTGGTAACTGCTGAGCTTTGTCTGGAGTTCTAATGTTCTCCCTGTGTGTAGATTAGGTTAGGTGTTCACTCTGAAGTGACCGTAGGAATGAACGGTGATGGACTAGAAATGTCCAGGTGGAGATGAAGTGACCCTTCAGGTCAAAGGGAAATGACCTGGATGACCTTCATGTAACATGTTACACTCATACCAGTTACATATAAGCCTTAACTTTTCTTAAAGAAAACACTGAATTCATCATCATGTCCTATATACGTACAGTATCAGTGTTTATGAAAGTGGGTCACATGGATACATTTGGAAAGTCTTGGTGCTGGATGACAAAGACAACAAAAGAAAACCTGTCTTTTATGCTGTGCTTTAATTGAGGGGCCTGATGGATGATTGGCAGTGTTGGAGGAAATATCTGTTTTTTTTCTATATGTGTTTACCTGTGTTTAAGGTGTGCCTCCAGGTCACAGCGAGGCATACTGAGGGAGCAGACTGGAGACAGAGGACAGGTCACGGACAGCTTGTCCAGCAGCTTGTGAACCAGTATGCTGGACCTGCGGCAGGCCTGCAGCTGCAGTCGCGTCCTGTCCAGTGGACAGAAGTCCCTCTCCTGCAGGAAGCTACGCAGACAGCGGGCACAGAAAGTGTGTCCACAGGGTGTATCCAGTGGCTGCACCAGTGGCTGCAGGCAAATGTGGCACACCAGGTCGTCATCCACCTCCAGCCTGTAGTTGTAGAGGTGGTTCTCTCTGCTGCGGTGGATCTGACCACACTCGGGACACAGCGGTTCCAGGGTTGGCTCCACCGGCCCGGTGAGAGCCACCTCACAGCCTGGGCTGCCCATCTCTACTCCTTCGACGCAGCTCAGCTTTGGCACTAAAGACTCCAGTGGGACTGCAGTGGTGGGAAGGGGCACACACACTCCTATCCCATAAGCTTCAGGGGTTGAACAGGTTGCAGAGAGGACAGATGCCCCCCAGTGGTTGTTGGCACATCACCCTGCAGGTCAAAGGGCAAAGCCCAAGGGTTAAAAGCTGTTGGAGAAAAAAAGGTGTCTAACAACATGATCCTGCTGTTATTTATCTGCATGTAGGTCTGTGTTTCTGCAGAAGATCAGGAGTAGAACTGTCACTGTGTGTGTGTGTGTGTGTGTGTGTGTGGAGATTATTTATTGCTCCTCCTGTCCACTAATCTACGACTATAATCTCTCTTTTGCTCTCGCTGGCAGCAATCTTCCAATTCCACTGAGAGGGAATTATCTGGGATTGAGGCAGAGATGCAGACATAGATCAGAGATGGAGTGGAAAAACGAGGGATGAGGAAGGAGCAGAAACGGAGCGGAGGGGGAAGAGAAAGTGACAGGAAGAGGGGGAGTGATTAATGAGATGTAAAAATGTGAACCAGGTATACAACACCAGAGGAAAACTAGGGCAGAACTGAACCAGGTACCTCTTTACACATGTCCAGGCTGGATACAACCGTACCCAATCACAAGTGTCGTCTTAAGGCTGCACCTACCGCAGCGGACAAGTAACAGGAAAAGGAAACGTAAATCCCGGACACAGAGCGGTTTTATCCTCCTGACCCGTTCTCTGACGTGATCTACCGCCAAACCTTCTCCTCTCTTCTGGCAGATGCAGAAACAACAACACATTGGCATATTTTACTGACTATGACAAACATGAAAATAAATGAGTGACACGTGCTGATTAATTGAGATAACGTATATTTATTGCATCTCTATTAAGTAAAGACATTGTGGGGAAATGACTCGACAGATTGATGACATTGGTGATTACACCGCATCAGGGACCAACCTCATTTTTTACGGTGATGATGCTGCTGGTTAAATAGCCCTCATTTCAGTCACATGATTTGGATCAGACCAGATCAGATCCAGTGACTTCTCAATAGTCATTAGCACTGCTCACCTACTGTATATGAACAAGTGACTTCACTCATGAAAAAACCTGCGTTGAAATGCAACCACAGAAATCAGAAAGTGTGAACATGCTCCGAGGACCAGATTAAACAGAATGCTCAGTGAGACTGTTATTTATATTTGGGGCCATGTGCTATAGATGCACTCTTTCTCCTCTGCAGCAGAACGAGGACATGCCTGAAGCAAAGTCTTGGTATTATAGTATTCAGCTGGGCAGCTCCAATCGCTGGATCACTCTCTGTGTACACTGATCTGTTTTACCAAAAAAATGTTTTGTTTTTTTTAACATCTAAAGTCAAATTGTTTCTCCTCTCATCTTTGAGCTGAACCCCCAGTGCTCGGGCTGAGGCTTTAAGTGGCCAGTAGAGGGCGCACCACAGCACCCTGCAGCTCAGCCAAGCCACAGTGACTACCTGCCTCTGTTTCCACTGAGGCTCTGCTTCTGTCTCCATGACGACCTGGAGCCTGTTCTGTTCAGTGGGGCTTGACATTCAGAGTGTCGCCGGAGAAGGATGCAGAGGAGACACAAAACAGATGCACTTCTCTCAGCAGGATGCTCTGCTCCTCCCCGGTGCTGCCTCAATACTTGTCAGACAGTACACACCATGATGACAGTCCCCTTCTCTCTCCCTCTCTGCTGCTGTTATTACCTCATCTCGGTCGCGTACACCATTTCTTAGGCGACCTGTCTCTCCTCACTGAAGAACCTGCACTTAGTGGTTTCAGCCTCCTTTAAGTACGACATTCTCCTGTCTGTTTGTGACTGGATGCTTCTGTCTCTATCCCGCAGCTGGACATGAATTAATCATGAGGACACAAGGCTCCTCTGTTCCTATAACAAAGCTGTGACATCACCACATCACACACACTCACTCACACACACTGGTAGACATGCAAGTCAGTGGAAATCAAACACACACACACCAAATCCATCATGCACGAGGGCTTTTTTAGGTGCTAACAGTCTTTTATCAATAAGTAAAGTCTTCAGGTTTTCACTGTGGCTGCAGATAAGACCCTCAGAAAAGCACTTAATGCTATTTTTACCACAGTCTAGCAACAGAAAAGCTCACATGGCGAAAATGCCTGTGGAATATTTCTCATTTAATCGCAGTGTGTAGGTTGAAGTGTGTGTGAGAGTCCAAGGCCAACCTGTTATTGTCATTGCACTGTTCCCTACATTATTAAATAACAGTGAGGACCTGTACCTGCACCTGTCCCTGCTCATTTCCATTGTCATTTTTCATACATGACAGTCAAATCTCACAGCGAAGAACAAGCTTTAAACAGAATTAGACAAAAGAATGGTGGTGTTTATTTGAATTTATTTGAATTGAGATTATGTTTTAGGCCTAAGATTTAAAATCTATTGTTCAGGCAAATAATCTTACAAAAATAAAACCCCATCATGTCAATTCTTAATATAAAAATCTAAAAAGGAGCCCTGCAGCTTCTGCAGCTCTGTTCCAATTGGCTGCCTTTCCAGCACTCCAGACAGACATGCAACAACAACAAACACTGACACTGGATTCAGTGATGTATCCATCAGCTTCACCAAAGACCTGAATTATATTGTCAACACATCAACTGCACAGTCATTACCTGCTACTGGATAATCAGCACAGACATACGTTCAACACATTGGATTAGACTAGAGCTTTTTTCTTATCACTGTCCCCCATCTGTCTGCCTCCATCCCAGTCTCCACAGGCGGAGAAGAAGCGAGGACACATCCAGCGACAATGGCAACATCACTTCACAGCAGCTGCACAATGACACCTTTCATACACAAATGGTGTGACCTTACCTTTTCTCTTTTTGATGGTCCACCGCTCCGGCTCCGGAGAGCGGGACGACTGTGGTTCTGCGGGACGTCAACCACTCATCCACCGCAACCGACCGTCCGCAAAACCCGCACGAAAACGCCCCCGTGCCTTTGGCGGCATTGGTCCCGCCCACTGATGTCTGTCAAAGTAGAAGGCGGGGTCTTCGATTGTCCACCCAAAGCAAAAATTATAGGTGGCTTCAAGACTGCCTTTTCAAAAATACCAGTTCAGCGTATGTGAAATGTAAAATTACTTTGTATTGTATCTCTGTTTGCAGAATTTTATATATATTATATAAAATATTTACTTATATTTATTTACCTCCTTAAAATTGAGCGAAGGACGAGAAAGAGATGTCACAAATGGCCTTTATCGGGGTCCCATTATATTCAGGCATTGCCTAGGTCTACCAAAGACACGGGGCCCTTAACCGAAGGACCTAGCACTGTATCACAGAAACAGATGCTGTGATGATAAGCACGTAATCTTGGATTTTTATATATAATCGTTTCGTTGCAACTTGTTATTGGTTTTAACGATGGCGAACGAAAATGAGCTGGAAAAGTAAGCCTTTCTTTGACTTTTTCTGCGTTACTTTGTCATAATTCTGTTTGTTGACGTTTCTGACAGTATTACTCCAACTGTGAGCCGCGGCGGCTAACACGGTATACCATGTTACGACAAATGTTTATTTTTTGTGTTGATGTTATGTCGGCTCGTAGTGCTTGTAAAGGCACATCATACAGTCATCCGCGTGTTTGGTTAAAGGTCAGTTATATTAACTTCTCTGCTTTGCGTAGACTGCTGATTTAGCAGCTCGGGTCAAACCAGGACACTGACGCTACATTTGGCTTCACTTTATTTTTCTTCTTCACATCAATTCACCTCGGCTTCCATTAACATGGTCTGACCTGTTCTTTTAATTTATCAATCTGATAGGAAAGCAATTGAAGAGCTCCTCAAAGAGACTGACAGAGCTCGAGTAAGAGCTGAGACCATGGGCCCAGCAGGATGGTGAGCAGAACATTCTTTTTTGAAGTTGAAGTTAAACGTGTTATATTTGGACAATCGCTACTTAATAGTTTAGCCATAAAGCTGGTTAATCTTTGCACCAAATGGGACACAAGAATATTGGTGTTATCACTGACAATATAACATGAACATATAAAAAAGACCAATGCCAAGAAGACTTCATACTAATGGATCATACACACTCTTGAGAAATTCAGTTCTCTTATACAACTAGTTCAGACAAAAACGTCTGCATATAACATGGCGTATCCTTTGTTCCCAAATAATCGAAATGGTTATAAAAAAGGATATTACCTTGTATTAATAATTGCAATTTCTTACGCTTGGTATACATTTTTTTGCATGAAGTTGGTCTTTGCCGTTTTTGTTGTCAGGTTGAAGTGTCCACTGCAGAGCACCAACAAGCGTTTCCTTCTCAACACTTTGCGGTCCACTGGCCTTCATGATCGCAGCAGTAAATCCAGAGAAAGACACTCTTCCAGAAACTCAGATTTAAGGAGCAAGAGCTACGACAGGAGTCCTGGTCGCAGCAGATCACCTCACCGAGAGGATCGGAGACATGAAGGCCACAGGGAAAGCAAAAAATATCAGCGGGACAGTCATCGCAATAAAGACAAGAAAGAAGACAAAGAGAGGAGTCACAAACACAGAGACAACAAAGACAAAAGACATGGAAAAGACCGACACAGCAGACGTGGACCTCGAGAATGAAGCAGCTTTGTTTGTGGAAGGAACACAGTTTTAACAAGACCAAGTTCTTCACAGAGCACAAGAGAGGACACGACTGAAAGTGTCCAATGACTGACCAGGACAACCCACAACACGGATGGATTCCTGTTCACTTGAGAAGGGAAAATGGCCCTGATTTTTTTTTTTTTAACTTTTTTCTTCTAGGAAAAATGGCCTAGATTCTCCCTACAAAAGGAAAAGGTAGTCTTACTCACTGTATTTAATGATTAACATATGAATTTATAATTTACAACAAACCCTGTAGCTGAGGCATATTTATTTTTTAATGTGTTTCTTCACTCTGTTCTTCAATATGACTAATGGTTGATAAAAAAGTCTGTTTCAGTAAAGGCGTTTGGTTTTCAGTGGTAATGCCATTACTTTTCTCCTGTCGTTATTCTCTGTTTACACAAGCCCTGCTGCTGTCGCCAGTAGGTAAGCACTTCTTATCATGTTTCTGTCTTGGTGACATACATACTGGCAATCAGAAACAACTTTGTTCGTCAAAATGGAATAAGGATGTAGATTTTCCCGACACTCCTGTGGGGGTCAATACTGTACTGTTCATTCATCATTAGTGGATTACTAGTCATTTAATTATCTCATGACTGTCTGAACGTGTTTCTAAGAAATTCATCCACAGTGATACTTATGTTATATGCTTTCATATTTTTTAGTTTTATTTAAAAAAACCAAACATATCAACTGCCTAGAGATTAGTAGTCAGCCTAAAATATTTAAAAACTATTAATTACTTAAAATGGAAATATCTAATTGATAGGTTTATATTATCCCAAAGAAAACTAAAAGTTAGCCTAGCTGCTATCCTTAGGCAGAAAGCTGAGCAGATGGCTAACCATAGGCTGGTTACGAAACTGGAGATAAAAATGTTTTTTGGCACATTTTCATTCAAATTTTTTCAGCTTAAAAAAAGTTACTAAAACTTTACAGCATAAATATTAAAAATATTTGTTTAGCTCCTATGTTTCGAACAGCATTTTCTACTAATCTTATTTTGTCTTTTAAGGGCCTCTGGGAAAACAGATGGACATGTGCTCAAGCGTTGAAAATGTAATGCTGTTTATATATTTCCTGCCCATTTGGCTTTTGTCCATGTGCTCAAGGTAGGCTACAGGTTTATTGTTCCACAACCAGAGCCTTTTATAAACGTGGCAGCGGCCATCTGTGGTCGCTCTGACCCGTGTGTGTGTGTTATAGCTAAGTTAGAAGCCTGTATTACACTTTGTGTAAACCCATTACATGTAACCTTAATCTGTAAAATGGAGCTAAAATCCGTTAAGGTTCCTTATGCTTCATAAATTACATTGTGGTCCTCCTCTGCTAAAGTGGGGAATAGCGTTGGTTAACCGTTTCCTTCCTTTTTAGAAACAGTGTTCAAATAAAAACCCCATTAGGCCATAGGGCGGGGGCAGATTCATATCGAATTGGTTTACCTGAACTTTATTGCGTCGCTAAGTGCCCCATTAAGATATTCTAGTAACGGCTGCACTTGCATTTTGAAGAACTCAGTACAAATACTGTAGGGATAAAAGCTTTAAGGGTGGAAGTCGTTTCATCCGGGTCAGTTGGGCTTAATTGAAGTTAGATTCCACCTGTTGTATGTGATACAGGAGAGCATGCGTGGATCTGGGAAGTAAATTCAGGATGTAATCATGGACATAGACAATAGTAGCGTTAATGCTAAAGGGTGTTTGCAATAAAATGTTTGTTTTAGTCCTGCTCCTGTAGATCCTATTTACAGGACATCTTCAAGCTGCCTCCACCTGCTCAGCCTCCACCCTTGGTACAGCTCTGTTGACTTTGAATGGTAATGGTTAAATACCCATTGCAAAATAGCTTGTCAAAAATGTATTCAAAGTATTGTAATATCAGTTTGGTAAAGATGACAGCGGCAAATACGTGTAAATGGTAGTCGAGAAACAGTCAAGTGCAAACGTGCGCTCGTGCAAAAAGAATTCAGGGTAAAACAAGGGTCGCGTCAACGGGCACCGTGCGCGTGCACGCTTCCTAATTGAGTCTTGTGTGTCTCTCTCAAACCTAATTGGTTTAAGCAGGAGTGGTGACGTTTAATGAGGCGAACGTAGACTAATGGACAGCAAACACAGTGAGAGGGAAAGAGTTCAGCGCCGCACTTGTTATCGTGAAGGGCTCAGGGCGCACAGGACAGACGCTACATGGTGTTAATGGTGCATTTGCACAAGTGTAATGCGTGCGTTTGAAAAGTGGCAGAGGTGCAGGGAGGTAAACAGAGGGAGAGACAGGGGGAGGAGGAGGAGGAGAGTGAAGAAGGAGAAGAAAAGGTGGGTGTGAGCTCCTCTGTCCTCCACGAATCTCCAAGACAACTGTCACCAACTGTCTCTTATCTCACAGGTCACACAGTGTTGGAGCCCATCCGCATCGATTTATCCATTTATGCAGACAAGAGACACGTCCAAGTTATAAAAAAGTGTCAATAAGAACTTTATGGGAGGACCATCGCACAGGACTCCTCCTGTGAGTGAGGTCTTTGTGTCTACAAAGTAAAAGGCTCCTTTGGTCCATTTCTTGTAGGATGCGTTCTGCTGCATTAGAGCCAAACGCGAGTGGATTCCGTGTAAACGCTGTGGTATTTACAGAAGGACATTGATTTACGCTCTGGTGGGCGTTCTGGGACAATTTACTGAAACTGAAGCATATCCTGGAAACTGAGGGTCTTACTTTTCTGACCAAACAGTGAAACCAATGACTTGTGCGCCGCGCAGTCACATGGTGACAGAGTGACACACCTGTGTCTGTGAGGAAACCTCAGGGCAGTTGCGCCACCAGGCCGGCGAGAGCAGGAGGTCCACACCGAGGCAGGGCGCAGCGTCTTTACGCAGCTGCTGCAGCCATGAATCGGGAAACTCATTTCTACCCCTCGCAGGTTTTTAAGGAGTCCTGCGCCTACCAGAGGTCCCAGGGCGAGGACTACAGCCACAGTCCGCCTCCTTGCCTCTACATGAGCAGGCAGGTCCACTCCGTCTACACACCTCCGGCCATGGGAGTCCTGGA